TGGTATTTAATGAACTTCATGACTTTTACGATTTAAAACTAGAATTTGTTGAATTTATCTGGTTGAGTAGTTTAAACATAAACTGTTAATTAGATTTTGTACAAATCTTCTAGACTTGAGGAATATTCATCATAATAATAAAAAAGTCAATTATTTTAAACGGGAAATTTCAGCAGAATTTTGGAAATTCCCAAGAACATAAGGACATGTTTCCGCTTTAAGATTGGCTCCTAATATTTCAAAATGTGCATTATGTGCTTTGTTCAAGTTTTTAAAAGGTTAATATTTAGAATTGAGAAAAGCAACTGTATCCGGGGTTACGTATTAGAAATTCAAATAATTAGTGTTCTTCTCAATATCTCTTCAATTGGAGGAATTGTGATTGAAAACTTTACTTCTGTTTAAGAGGATCTAAAAACTTGTTTATGTTTTTGTTTCTTCTTTATAAAAGTAATCACAGAAATAGTCTAGTCATTTTCATTTTTGATATAAAATAGAATTTGTGTGCATTCTAGTTCTTCGTAATAATAGGGAGGGGGGGGGGGGGCGGCCTTCATTACTCAAAAACACTTCCAGAAACTAACATCAATGTGATAAATGTAAGACTGGAAATTTTTCCACAAAAAAGTAGTAAATATGAATGAAGTATACTAATAAATAAAGCAATATTAATATTAAAAGGACAGTGATGAAGAATGAATTAAACGAATTAATAATTCAGATTGGAGGTATGAAGGAAGGAGATTATCTTGTTGGTATAGGAGATCAAGATGTCAAGTGGAGTACACATGCTGATGTAGTCAATACTATCAAGGGGGCGGGCAACAGTCTCAAACTACGCTTGGTAACGCCCCTCAACAAAGCTAAAACATCCTTCTCAAAACCAAAGGTGTGTACATCAGTCTTTGCATTATTTAATAAGAAACTAACAATAAAGCTTAAAAACTGGAGCCTTTGTCTCAACCTCGAATTTTCTAATCCCTATATCTTTGCAAACTGGTGATATTTCAAACTTGGATTATTTGATCTAGCAGAAAAAATAGTTTGAAATATTTCATGGCCTACGATATTAAGTGCAGAATATAGGGATTTGAATATCATTGTTTGTGGCAATAACTCAATTTCTTTTGAAAAAAATTGGACTTTTAAGGTATTTTAACATCAGATTGTTGAAATTTATATACCTCGCAAAAAAAGACAATTTAATTTTAGTCCAATGTCCAAAATATCTTAATCCTTGACTCAAAAATCATTGGAAAACAATTATGTTCTGTTTAGGTGCTCGGAGGCATGTCTCCTACCTCCACCACCTCCTCCTCCTCCGGTTTATCCTCCGCTGGTTCCTCCTATCCCTCCGATAGTTCCGGGGTGTCTCCTCCCCTCTCTGAGGTTGGATCTACCAGAGGAAACCAGAAGTTAAACTTTTCAATATTTAAGAAAGCTCGAGATAGAAGATCCTATAGGGACGAGTTTCCCGAGGAGAATATTAGTTTCAGATAAATTCAAAATATTTGAAATATTTGAAATCAGAAAGCAAATATTTTTGATTCCGATAATTGTGTTATCAGAACAATTTCTGACCTTTTGAGTGAAATATCACAAATCAACGACGGTTGATATCGATATCCACTACAAGCACTTTAATTTCACGATAATGTGCTTGATTCTCCAATTTCCCGACCACAGGTTATTTAAGAGGAATTTATTAAATCCTTTGAACGACAAAATATCCCTGGATTAAGAAAAGTGTTGACCTCGTTTATCAAAAAATTAAAAAGTAACTCAGTTAAAGCACGAGTATTACAGTAGAATTAAAACTGAACAAATGAAGTGCTAAAAAATCTTGATTTGTATATAGAATGTTTAATTCAGTAACTCTTATATGTAAAATGTAAAAAAACGTATTGTATCAACTTCAAGTCCTCGAATGAAGATTTCCGAGTTATTTTTTCCTCTCCACAGACATTATACAGTGGTCCCCAGATTAAAGTGGTATAGTATGACGACTTCAAATTAGTCTGAAGTGCATCATCTTTTGTTTCTGAAAGCCCACTACTTAAGTTTAAAAAAAATAAGAGAAAAGGTGAATCGATTTATTTCACAATGTTCTGGAAACCCCTGAATTTACTGCATATATATAAATATAAATAAACTAGTCTCATCTACTGTGATATCTCGGCGTGCCACAATTTAAACTTTTTGGGCATCAAACTTAAATGTTATAAAAACATGAATTTATGCAATTAGAAATTAATAATTGTTTTGTACTGATATAATTTTTAAGTGTTAACTTTTAAGTGGGTTCCTTAATCCTAATCCTCTAATTAAAAAACCCCTTTTGCGTGTTTTTATTGGAATGCCAAGGGTTAGTTTTAATTTTACCACTTGTTTACTTTATATTTGTTACAAATTGAATCAAAATAAATATATAAGCGAAATTATTCATTTTTATATTGTCAGATTAAATCTTGAGTAAAAGCAGAATAGATTGTATTAAAGACTTTAATACAACATTTATCATTTATAAGAAAGAATGGATCTTGTTTAGAAGAATACTTTTGTAAACTGACCATACCTCCTTAGTAAGATCTTACACAAGGAAGAGCACAATTGATCTTTTGTTAGGTAATCCGATCCGATCTACCGCGACCTAATGGGACTGGTCGCACGACCGTCTCTTTTTGCTAGAGTAAAATAAGAAATTATTTTGTGTTGGAGAAGTATATATTGTGTAAGATCAGAATTGAATTTGTGTACAAACAGAAAATTGAACTTCTGTAAAAGCATGGAATAGATATAATTTATGGGCAAAATTGATCATGTGTAAGATCAGAACTGATCCTGTATAAGTGCAGAGTAGATCCTGTGTAAGGAGCGTTACGTTATTGATCTTTTGTCAGCTCAGAAATTGTGTAAAATTAGAATTGATCTTGTGTAGGAGCAGAATTGATCTTGTGTAAGAGCAGAATTGATCTTGTGTAAGAGCAGAATTGATCTTGTGTAAGAGCAGAATTGATCTTGTGTAAGATCAGAATTGATGTTGTGTAGGAGCAGAATTGATCTTGTGTAAGATCAGAATTGATCTTGTGTAAGATCAGAATTGATCTTGTGTAAGAGCAGAATTGATCTTCTGTAAAATCAAATTGATCTTCTGTAAGATAAGAATTGTTCTTGTGTAAAATCAGTAATAATTTAATGTACGAAAAAGAGAAAAAAATTGCGTAAGAGTTTATGTACTAAAGAATAGATCTTGGAAAAGCAGAAAAGATGGTGAATAAATCTTGTATTAGATCAGATAAAATATTATGTAAAAGCAGACTGCATAATGTGAAGGACCTAAAGATTTAATATGACTAGGATCAGTGCTATGCAATTATGCAGGAGTGGAAGATCCACATGGAAACCTTGAATTTTGGGTTCGGCTAGGGATACCTCGAAACTTGAAAAATCAATTACTTATAAGAAAGATATTCTCCCAAAAAAATGTTTTAAATCAAAAACAAAATCAAAAGTAAAAATAATATTTTTTTCGAATATTAAATTTCGGCACAAACCTAGTCTGTATATTAACGTGTGTTGACAAGGTCGGGGTCCCATGGAATAGGTTCTAATTGTTTCCGACGGGATCAACCCGGATTTCGGAGCAAAGTAATTGTTTCCGACACAAGACGGTTTCTAACAAACAATCAACAGAACATTTCTAGTTAACAGGTGATAATGCCATGTTTTAAAAATACTTTGAAACAAAAATAATGTAAAAAAACCTTGAATTTGTTTAACCTATGTCACTTTGGTTCAGTCGTTTGGCCAGCTATAAGTAGCAAACAGTGATATCGGCTGAAATTTTTTTGAGGGAATCCTTGGGCTTTTATAAGGGGTAACATAGGATAAAGGAATTGATTTTTTGCATCAAACTCAAATTTTTTGATCTTTATATCTTTGCAACCTGATGGTGTAAACCTTTGATATTTCAAACTTAAATTATTTATTCTAACATAATTCAAAGTTTGAAATATCTTAGATATACGACCTTGGGTTGCAAAGATATAGGGATTAGCAAATCAGAGTTGTTGTGGCAAAGACTCAATTCCTTTGTTTAAAAAATTTTTAAATTCCATAGGTAACAGCGGTCATTTCAGCTAAAATCATGATTTGATACCAAGCTCGGGTAAACGGCCGGAGTAACTATGAGTAATATTATGAACCTGGGCAACACCAGATATATATTTATCTATTAGCAAAGCGCTGTAGCCTATATTTTATGTCAGTAAAAAGTCCTTGTTCCAGGGTGAGTAGGTCTCAGAACCCATTCAATTAATCTCAATGTCAATTATAAAAGAGTAGAATTGTCCTTGGTTATTAAGGATATCCTTTACGCTAGAATGGTGTACAGGGTGTCCCAATAAGCATGGGGATTGAGCTACGATTTTGATATCGTCTTTGAAAATTATATTTTGATTTAGTATAGTGATGCCTACTAGGAAAGCTGTAATCCGTAGGTGTAGTGTCTGATAGAGTTAAGAGTTTTAATTGTTAAAGTTAACCCTTTTTGCCGGGGGGTGGGGGGCTCAATTGACCCCCTGCAGTTTTTTTTAAATAACTAAAAAGTCTAAGTTTTTTCTAATTACACATCAGGTTATTAATAATTTTGCATATATATTTGCATATTTGAAATGGTATGGTGAAGGACTTTTCAAAAATGCATAATTTATCATTTTTGGACCTTTTTTTAACCCTATTCCCGCTGGGGGGGGGGTCAATTTGACCCCCCCCCAGCGTATCCTGGTTTTCAAGTACCCCAGCGGGGATAGGGTTAAATTTATTTAAAACTGGATTTGGCAAAAATAGTTTCAATTAGTGCGAATTTGCGATTTTTTTTGTAGATTTTAAAAGTAGAGCATAAGAGCTTTCCCAAGGTGTATTATTTGGTATATTTGGACATCAAACATGGGATTTAGAGTGCATACTGGTTTTTAAGTATCCAAGGTGGGATAAGGTCAATAAACTGTTACTGAACATTATAACGTTTTGCATGGTTGTTTACCGTTTACATCAAATATTGCTCTATCAGACGAAACCTTTTGAATTTATGTAGTACAACAATAATTTCGTCTCTAAATTTCCATGTTTATTGGGACACCTTGTATAATATAATATAATATATATTATTCTACTGATGACGTCACTAAGATACAAGGAGTACCAACGTTTTTCTTCATTTTAAATTTTGCATGATTTTTAATATAATTTTAATTCATAAAACTCTTCTCGTCTCTTATTTCCCCACTGCGCTCAACGTGTAATTTGAGAAAATTGGTATAATTTAGATCAGAATTGATGTTGTGTAGGAGCAGAATTGATCTTGTGTAAGAGCAGAATTGATCTTGNACGATAATGCTCAAAGGAGATTTATTAAAAAAGAAATTTGAGGTGTTTGGAACCCCCTAACATTAGTTAAATGAAAAACCTTAATCAAAACGAATGCAGTTTTGTTGAATTTAGATCTGAAATCAGCACGAATTTCTGAACACCCTGTCTAGGCTGTAAATTATTAATTCCCGGATATCTGGGTTGTATTAAAGAATGGTTAATATACACCGCAGAGCCTTTGATTTAGATCAAGTTTTAGGAATTAATTTAAAACATTCTTCAAATATATACGGCTAGGTTTCAGGGAGGTTCTCGCCCCTTTCCTGTTTCTAAGTTGATCTTTTAACCGTTGCTCTCAAAGTAGGGTTTCTACGAAACAGTAGATTCTCTTGCGCAATTCAGATTCGCGTTTTTGCACAAAATGCCTTTTTTGCACGAAATTTCGCATCAATTTCGTATCGATACGAAATTAGTTTTGCATGCATTCATTCGAAATAAAATTTTTTTTTGGCACGAAATTGCGCATGAATACAAAATTTAAGTAGTCTTTTCTGTCTGATTTTGTGATTTCCTTCGGGAAATCACTAAATTTAAGGTAGAATTTTCAGTTTAACATTGAGATCCGTATATTTTAAGAGTTTCAGATCGTCTTCACTTTCTCATCCATTTGTGGGTAACCCTGTAGCTTATAAAACATTTTATATTTATATCTTTTAAAATTGATTTTCATGTAATATACTAATAATCATCTTATCCGAAATTTTCTCTTGATTAACGAAATAGAAAAATAAATATAAATGTTATTTGAAAAAAAGGTTCTCTTAACCCAGCTTCTTAAACTTAAATTCTAAATATTTCACAAAATTTAAGATTTTTTTCTTTTTTCTCTTTATAATTTAACCACACATATTTAGGGCAATAAATGCGGCGATTCTGCCCTTTTGACGTTTATTGTGAAAAAATAAACAAACGAGCAAAATATATACATTTTAAAAATGTCCACATTGAAATACCTGCAGAAACCAAAAGAACCCTCCTTATTTGTGCAAAAATTTTAGACGACAAAAAGGAGTTTTTAGAAAGATAGGTTCCGTAACCGTTTTATTAATTGAAAGGACTTTTTAACTCCTTATTTCCTTAAAATTTGTCTATATTCAAACTAAAAAAATCACATTTGCATGATTAGTACTTTTCGTGTGTTTATTTTTTTTAAATAAAGTATATTAACTATTCCTTAAATTTACGTATAGAAAACTTATAAACTAGTTCCATAGATAATTAGCTGTATTTTTCCCTGCAAAGTTTTTGAAAGGGCACAATTAGCTGAACACCAATTCACGTTTTTTCTGAAAATGGTCGGTTTTACAACTGTTCAGATAGTCTCATGTCTGTTAATTCCCTTAACGTGAACAGAAAATGATAGATTCCCCCCCCCAAAAAAAAATGTTCATTAAATACAGGGTGTCCCAATAAACATGGGAATTCAGTGACGAATTCGATATCGTCTTTTCAAATACTCCTTGATTTAGTATAACGTGATACCTACTGAGAAAGCTGAAATTTGTAAGAGTTTCGTCTGCTATGTTCACATTTAGGATGTTTATGTTTTGACTGCATACGGTTGTACTTAGTATAACAAGAAAATTGCAGTATACAAACAGAGTAAACTTGTCCGTCTTCACTGTTCATCTTGCAGAGACATTATAGACACATCTTTACAGCCATTTACCGCTTTCATAAAATAAACTCCAGCAGACATAATAATATTATGGCTTTTGAAATTAGGTATTACAATGCTAATTCATAACAAAGACGATATCGAATTCGTCACTGAATTCCCATGTTTTTTGGGACACCTTGTATATAAATATAGTTTACAACATTTTACTGTGATGAAAGGAATTGAGTTTTGCCACAAACTCAAATTTTCTGATTACAATAGCATTAGTACATGATAGTGTAAACCTTAGAAGTTTAAAACTTTGATATTTAAATCTAACAGAATTCTTAGTTTGAAATATCAAAGGTCTACAACATCGGGTTGCAAAGATAAGATATTGATAAATTATAG